ATGCGAAACCTATACTTGGACCAAGATGCAGCTGTCAGAACAGAGCAGGGTAACACTGCATGGTTCAAAATTGGGAAGGGTGTACGCCAGGGATGTGTCCTGTCTCCATACCTTTTCAGCCTGTATGCAGAGCAGATAATCCAGGAGGCTGGGCTCTATGAGGAGAATTGTGGCATCAGGATTGGCGGAAGATCTATTAACAATCTGTGTTATGCAGATGATACAACCCTGCTTGCTGAAACTGAGGAGGACCTCATGCATTACTGCAGAGGGTCAAGGACTGCAGCCTTCAGTATGGACTGAGGCTCACTCTCAAGAAGACAAAGATTCTCACCGCTGGACCAATTGGTAGCATCGGGATGGATGGCGAAGAGATTGAAATTATTCACAGCTTCGGTTTGCTCAGCCACGGTCAGCACTCTTGGCACCAGCAGCCAGGAAATCAAAAAACGTATTGCGATGGGAAAGTCTGCTGTTAGGGACCTCTCTAAAGTACTGAAGAGCAACAGTGTCTCTCTGGAGACTAAGGTGCGCCTGATACAGGCCATGGTCTTTGCAGTTACTTGTTATGCATCAGAGAGTTGGACAGTGACTAGGGAGGACAGAAGGAGAATTGATGCCTTTGTGCTGTGGTGCTGGAGAAGAGTATTGAATGTACCCTGGACTGTCAAGAAAACAAACAGATTCATCCTGGAGAGGGTTAAACCAAGCTACTCCTTGAAGGCAAGGATTCTGGGACTTCATCTGATATACTTTGGGCATGTTGCAAGGAGGTCCTTGGAGAGGGACATCATGCTTGGGAGGGTGGAGGGACAGCGCAGGAGGGGAAGACCCTCTATGAGATGGATTGATTCAGTGACTGGGGTAATCGGGATGGGTGTATCGGAGACAGTGCGATTGGCACAGGATAGAGCAGGGTTTAGGGCTATTGTACATAGGGTCGCTATGAATCGCAAAGGACTCAACGGCAATAGCAACAACTGCTCCTCTGTGCCATTTTCTGTTGTTGTTTTGATAGAGGTTCCTCTCTGTTTTTTTCTCTTCCTCTTTTCACTGCACCAGCTGCATCATTTTCATCTCATTCATCATCACTACCAAATTCCGTTTTCTTGCCCTGAAACTCTATTTTTCCTGTAGCAGATCCAGCCTGTGCAACTTTATTTCCCTTTCCTTTTCCTTTAAATGTGTGATCTTTTGACTTCCATTTGTTTCAGGAGTCGTGTTGATCTTCCATGATTTTTTTTTAATGCTCCCTTTTCTACTTCTCCTTCTAATACTTTCCATACCATGTCTTTGTTCTTAGTTGCAGGTTACCATTATTTGCATCTTTGGCGTTATACAGCACTTCCTTGACTTTTTCTTCAAAGATCATTACTCCCATCTCAGCATCTTTTGCTAACTTCTGTTTTCCTTCTTGCTCTTGTTTAGCGTACTTCTGGCAGGGGTTCCTGCAAACTCCTTAGCACATTCAGTGCTCTCAAACGCAACAAACACTGATCCCTTAAATGTTCTGGACAGTGTTTTTCTCAACTGAATATTTAGTGTTTGACCTTTGTCTTGCAGCCATTCTTTTATGTCGTCAAGGGTAGGATCAGTTGAAAGCCTTTGACATAAACAGATCTGTTTTTTGTATCATTTTTTTACTCATCAGTCACTTCAGGGAGGAATTTTCTTGGAGATCTTCTGATTTTCATTTTATCTTCACTGATTTCCATTAGCTCTACTTTTGATTTCTTCAGTGCCTCTACTATTACATTAAAGTCCATTGATAAATGATTTATCCTCAATTTGATGACAGATTTTGGCCTCCAGCTTAGCCACTTTTTTCCTTATCACCATTGTGCCATTCTGAAAATTTCCTTGATGTGTCTAGGCCCGCAGAAGCACTACACAGAATCAAAACTGGTAAAAGGACAATAGCAATTTCTAAACGTTGCCAGAAGCCTAACATGTTCAGAGATGGCAAGGAAGGGTGCCGTGGCCAAATCTTCATTTCACATTTTTTCTTTGATATTATTCTCATTTTACTATTTGAAATATAGCTGACCACGAGAAAATTTTGCATTTTTTAAGCAATAGGTGATGTGATGACATTTTTATTGTTAGTGGTGGTGTGATGATGTTCTTGGTGGTGGTGGTGTGATGCCATTTTTGGTGGTGGTGGTGGTATGATGATGTTCTTGGTGGTGGTGGTGGTGTGATAACGTTTTTGTTGGTGGTGATGGTGTGGTGATGAATTTTGTTGTTGTTAGTGGTGGTGTGCTGATGCTCTTGATGGTGGTGGTGGTGGCATGATGATTTTTTTAAAGAAATATTCTTTTATCTTAGAAATAATCTGCATGCACTAGTGAAAAGAATAAACTTTATCTATTTTTCTGATACTAGAATATTTAAAAATACTTTTTATCTTGCAATACATCTTTTTTAATTGGCTTAAGAAGTATATTCTAAGCAAAATCTCCATTAACCCAGTTTATGGTTTACAGTAATTTCTAGTTAACTTATAAAGTTAGGAAATGAAAAGCCCACTTTTCCTACATGTCCTCCACTGCTATACTTTTTCAGCTTTTAAAAGGCTGATCCAGAATCAACTTAGAGCATCTATTATTCACACACTCCTCAATATATCTTGCCCTAAAATCCTACCTTGGCAATCTTTTTACTATGGAAGAAATATAATTTCTTTAGCTAATTTTTCAAATTTATCCTTTCTTCTTTTTTTCTGATTCTATTCTTGAGTTACTCATATATAAACAATGAAATATACCAAAAATAGTCCCTCAGTGTCAAAGTTCACAGTGGTACAGACTAGATATCACCAGGTATGGTAAGCATTTCTCTTTACCTTTTCCAGCATCTTAATTTTGGAAACATTGATTATCAGGGGCATGTGGACATACTTAGCTCTTCTTTTGCAATATAGCTTACTAACATATGTAAGCCTCATTTATAGTCAATGTCACACACATATAACCTGTAATTGCCCCAATAAATGCAAAATCTTTCCCTAGAGGAGGGAGTTTAACTTAAACAGAAACAGTTTGACCATAGCAATTTGTTTTGTCTCCTTTTTATGTTTGAGGAAAACAAAAAATGAATTAATCTCAAGAGTATGTGTTAGAAATTTGTCCTGTTTTGTTTGGAACCCTCCTGCCTTTGTTCCTGTTACCACAAAGCTGTGGTTCTGCTGCCCGGTCACTGGAAAAACCACCCTTAGAATTAGGAGGTGGGGTGGAAAAAGCAGACGTTTTAATCACTTACAGGGTATACATTATACAGGGTATGATCTTCCCAAATCTGTCTCCCCATCTTAGAGACTGTGAGGGCTTTTTTCAGAACAGGGACAGGACTGTAGAATATGAAAAAAATTCTTACAATGCCTTTTCCTTTTCTTGTCCAAGTATTGACACTAATTGGAATAATTGGGCCAGTCTTGTCAGTGTTCCTCTAGAGAGAGTTGGCTCCACTCATTCATTGGTCATAGGTCATAGCTTGAGAGGAACAACTTTCAGCTATTCTTTACTATCATTAGTTAATCCCCTTGACTAAAAGAACATCTTTTTCTTTTTAAGTTATTTTTTAAAAACATACTAGTCTTACATTGTTAAGGGTTTAGTCTCTCATTATTGTATCCATTAGTTGCAAAAGAGAATCCTTTTGCCTAAAGTATTGTAAGACATTAGTTTCCCGTTATTATAACCTATTTGTCAAAGATTTGTTTTCTGTTGCTTTATTGTATTTCTGTGTAGCCCTTAAGTGGTTAAGTGCTTTGTTGATAATTGAAAGTTTGACAATTCAGATCTACCAAGCACTTTACAGAAAAGCTGTGGCAGTTTACTTCTGTAAAGACTACAGCCTTGTAAACTCTGTGGGAAAGCCTAGATTGTTATAGGAGGATTGCTGTAAGAGGGAATCATCATGACAGCAGTGGTTTGGATTGGGGGATTTTTAAGTAAAGTTTCATTTACTTTAACTCTCTTCCAGTTTGAATGTAACCTCCATTTTCAGCAGATTTCAATATATGAATTCATTTGTATCTTTATAGAAAGTGGACAAGGACATTGTCAACCGACTGTATCTGTCTTTCATTCTTTATACTTTGCTCAAAGAAACCAACATTTGGAGTGTGTCTGAAAAATTTAACATGCCTCGAGGGTATATACAAAGCCTTCTCACTGGAGCTGCCTCCTTCTCGTCTTGTGTGTTACATTTCTGTGAGGTAATTCTGTTAAGTAGATTATAGACACTTTGTGTATCTTGCTGCTTTAATTGTTATTAAATTCACAGTCCAATTCATGTTTTCTCTTTGTTGCCTTATTCTGTTATTATAAAGCAATCAAAATTTTAAATACTTACCTTTGGTTTTATCTGCTTATTAAAGTTGTATGTATATTTACAGCAGTAAAGATGCAAAAACTAATGAGTGAACTAAAATGTGCAATGAATAAATAGAAAGCACTTAGTTATCTCTGGTTGGTCAGCATGTTTGGGTTTTGGTTTTTGGTTTTTTTTAATAGTTCAAAAGATATTTATTTAGAAGTGTATTAGATATTGAAATTCAGATTTTTTTATACTTAAGACTGATTTGATTAGAAGATTATTTTAATGTTCCATTGTAAATTTTAAGACTTTTCATTCAAACTGTACGTAAATATGTAAAATGTTGCCAGTACTCGTGATACGGTTCTATAAAATCCATTGACACGTCTGCTGTGGGGACAACCCCACCATAGCTGAAGCTCTTCTGTTTTACTCTCACCATTGCTACTTACAAAGATTTGTTGATGCTAATTTCTGCTGGTTTTAAGTCAAGATAAGGTAAAATTTTCCTCCTGCCAGCTTCTTATTTTTTTTTTGCATCTTTTTATTAATGATTTTAATGCAACATATATATTTTTAAAGCATATTCTTTCAATTTAATTTTTTCCCCATTCATTCATTGTTGCACATTTTCCTCCCTGTCCACCCCTCACCTCCAGTTCGTTTTTCTCTTACAATTAAAAAAAAATTCTTTCATTGTTACACAGTCCACCCAGAAGTCCACAGTCCACTTAACTATGCATTTCTTTTTCTGTAACCTTGTCATGAAAATAATTCCTATGAACAGTGCTCAGGTCTTTCATTCATAGGGTCGCTGTGCGTCATCTACAACTCAACAGCACTTAACAACAATAACAACAACAACATAGAGAAAGCTATGTTGGCCTACTGGACAGAAAGTTATGCTACCAAGTCCACGGTGGGTGATTATAATCTGCGGCACTCAGGCCTGGTTTAAACTGGGTTTTGTCAAACATTCTTCTACATGGTATAGCACTGGTCTGTGCATTGCTGTACAGAGATAACTCGTGATTGCTGAGTTGCTAAACACTGTGACACTCATGTACCAAACGTGGTAATGGTTACCCATGGTGGACAGTGTTTGCTGGAGCTTCCCGATTAAAACAAGGTTGGAAGCAGGAGTGGCATCCACTTCCCAAATGGCTTGCCTCTGGAAACTCTATGAACAATGCTCAGGTCTTTCGTTCATAGGGTTGCTATGAGTCATCTACGACTCGACGACATTTAACAACAACATATTCCTTTTAAACAGTTAACTCTCTTTCATCTATTTCAGTGCAGTGTTCATTATTTATCCCCTCTTTTCTTAGGTTCCCCCCAACCCAAGTGTCAGTCCCATTTTACAACAGTGGCACTATGCAATATTTGTCCTTTTGTGACTCAGGTATTTCACTCAGCATAATAAAAAAATTCAAGCAAGATCCACACCTCACTCTATACACAAAAACCAACTCAGAGTGTTCAAGGACCTAGGACTAAAACCAAGTACTCTAAACTTCATTAGAGAAAATCTTGGAAGAACTCGAGAAGCCCTAATCCACAACATAAACAGTCTTCTAAGCATCCTGAAAAACCTACAACCAGGAGAAGATAAAATAGATGAATGGGACCTTCTAATATAAAATCTCTTTGCACATCCAAAAACTTCTCCAACAAGGTAAAAAGGGAAGACACAGACTGGGAAAAAATATTTGGCAATGACATGTCTGATAAGGGACTTATATCTAGAATTTATAGAATACTCCAAGATAAACGTAAACAACTCAATTGAAAAAACTCAATTGAAAAATAGGCACAGGACATGAACAGACACTTCACAAGAAAAGACATTCAAATAGCAAACAAACACATGAAGAAATTTTCAAAATCCCTAGCTCTAAGAGAGATGCAAATCAAAACAACTATGAGATAATCATCTTTATAAGAATAACAAAATTCAACAGAACAGCAAACAGCAAATGCTGGTGAGGTTGTGGAGAAACTGGAACCCTTATTCATTATTGGTGGGAGTGTAAACTGGTGCAACCACTATGGAAGGCAGTATGGTGCTTTCTCAGAAAGTTGCAAATAGAAATATCATTTGACCCAGCAATTACACTACTGGGAATTTACCCTAGAGACCAGAACTGCCACCCAAGCAGATATATGCACACCGTGTTTATTGCTGCTTTGTTCATAATAGCAAAGAGTTGGAAACAACTCAAGTGCCCATCAAATGAGTGGCTAGAGAAGCTGTGGTATAGTCACACAATGGAATACTATGCAGCATCGAAAAACAAGGAACTCATGAAATAATTATACAAAATGGGTGACCCTGGAGTCAGCATGTTTTTGAGGAGCAAGAATGAGGAGACACTTGTAATTTAAGCAGACATGTACATTGGACATGTTATGAAGAGAGACCAATCCCTTGGAGGAGGACATTGTGCTTGGTAAAGTAAAGGGTCTGTGAAAATGTCAGACTGTCGAGCGAGCGTGCCACAGTGTCAGCAGCAGCAGTGGGCTCTGACATGTGAGCCTGTGGAGATGGCGGAGAGCCAGGCAACGTTTGGTTCTGCGGTGCCCAGAGCAGCCTCGATGGCACTTAGGAACAGTCCTCCCTGCCCTCAGAACCACCGTCAGCAGTTTCCTATTATTTTACATTAACTCTTTAATAAAGCAGCATTTCTCTCAGGATGTGGACTGTCATGTGCTTATCATCTTTGTCTCTAACATCAGGGAGCTATTTAGGATTCCTAAATCAGATGTTGATTTTATAAACACTCAAGAAGAAAACTTGTATTTCACAGCAGTCATGAGAAGATGGCTCAAAGGAGTCACAAAATTGCTGGCTATTGGTAGGACCCGAGCTGCACACTTTCTATTATTCATGAAAAAGACACTCAGAGCCTATAGAATTTTTGAGAAACCTTTTTCTTAGTCATCTTTCTAAACATGAAGGGTTGTTGTTTTGTTTTTTTTTTCCCCCCGTCTTTTCTCTCTTCTGTCTTAATGTACTAATGAAGACAATAAATAACCTAAACTTTTTAACTGGAGGAATCATAATTAATAATTTACCTTTCTAAATATCTTACATGTATACTGATTTTGTAATATTGACTTACGTTCTTGAGCACACTCTTGATAGGCAGCAAACATTACGGCTAACAAAAAGAAGCTAGTCTTTAAATATATTGTTTTTTCTAGAGTTTTTCTTACGTACTTTGGACATATGCTTAAGGAGGAATTATTCTTTCTAAATATTTCATCCCTTCATTTTACTTAGGACTTTTAAGTGCATATGTTAGAGATTTGTGATGAAGCCTCACCTTGTTATTTTATTAGTTAAGATATTTTTTTAAACAAAAATTAATAGGAAAAACCTCTGCAACAGTTTAGGCAATAAGGAAAAAATTATTATCTTCTCTAACAGGAAGGTCATAGGTAAGGCCATTCCAGAATTGATTCAGTAGTTTTTTGGTTGGTTTGTTTTTTGTTTTTTTTTTTGCTGAGTACAGTGTACTTTATTGATGGTACATGACAAGATGGGCTCGCCAAGCCCCTCCCCTTTCTCAGGGGATTTGATGGAAACTTGTGTCAAGGATGTGAGATTCTCAGTGTATGGGAGGATCAAGTTGGGGCAAGGACTCCCCAGCAGCTCTCTCTCTTCTAGTGCTGTTGCTGGGGCTGGTGGTCCAAGGGGATCTTATTCTTTGGAGGCCATGTGAACCATCAGGTCGACCACCTGGTTGTTGTAGCCACATTCATTGTCATACCAGGAAATGAGTTTGACAAAGTGGTCGTTCAGGGCAATGCCAGCCCCAGCATCAAAGGTGGAAGAGTGGGTGTCACTATTAAAGTCACAGGACACAACCTCGTCTTCAGTGTATCCCAGAATGCTCTTGAGGGGCCCTTCTGATGCCTGCTTTACTACTTTCTTGATGTCATCATATTTGGCAGCTTTCTCCAGAAGGCAGGTCAGGTTCACAACTGACACATTGGGGGTGGGGACACGGAAAGCCATGCCGGTAAGTTTCCCATTCAGTTCAGGGATGACCTTGCCCACAGCCTTGGCAGTGCCAGTAGATGCAGGGATGATGTTCTGGGCAGCTCCATGGCCATCCCGCCACAGCTTTCCAGAGGGGCCATCCACAGTCTTCTGGGTGGCAGTGATGGCATGGACTGTGGTCATGAGTCCCTCTACAATGCCAAAGTTGTCATGGATGACCTTGGCCAGGGGAGCCAAGCAGTTGGTGGTGCAGGAGGCATTGCTGACAATCTTGAGAGAGTTGTCATACTTTTCATGGTTCACGTCCATCACAAACATGGGGGCATCAGCAGGAGGAGCAGAGATGATTACCCGTTTGGCACCACCCTTCAAGTGAGCCCCAGCCTTCTCCAAGGTTGTGAAGACACCAGTGGACTCCACAACATACTCAACACCAGCATCACCTCACTTGATGTTGGCGGGATCTCACTCCTGGAAGATAGTGATAACTTTCCCATTGATGACCAGCTTCCCATTCTCAGCCTTGACAGTGCCATTGAACTTGCCATGGGTGGAATCATATTGGAACATATAGACCATGTAGTTGAGATCAATGAAGGGATCATTGATGGCGACAATATCCACTGTTAGAGTGAAAAGCAGCCCTGGTAACCAGGCGCCCAATATGGCCAAATCCGTTTACTCCGACCTTCACCATCGTGTCTCAGGGATGTGGCTGAGGCTGCACAAGAAGAGAGGGCAATCTGGATCGACGAGGAGCAGAGAGCCTGATTCAGTAGTTTTATTCGAGGTTCTCTTTCCTCTTCCCTCTGCCATCTCTAGTGCATTAACTCACATTGCTGATGATTAGTGGGTGGATAACACTGTTCCAGTTATCACATTCTTTCAAAACACCCCCAAACTTGAAAGAGACTGTTTTAAAAAATACTTTCATTATAGAAAATGTCAAACCTACATATAACTGTTTCTAGGAGCCTCTGTGTTGACCCTGACTTAGAGCAAACTCATGTAGAGCAGAACTCATAGCAACTCTACAAGCAAACGAACCCCTGAATGATCTTGCTTCGTCCTCACAGTCTCCACTGTGCTTCAGCCTATTGTTCCGGTCACGGTGTCAGTCTGTCTCGTGGAGATGAGTAGCAGTGGAACACAAAAGAAGACAGAAGGGTAGAGTGAACTTTTATTTAATAGCCATCATTAATAAAGTTGCACTGAACATCCTCTTGTGTTACAGTCTTTGCATACTTAACATTTTGTCTTCAAAATGAATTTACAAACACACAAACCTACAAACAAAATGAATTCACAGAAGTGTGAATTCTTTTCTGTCATTTTGGAAAGAAAAGCTTTTTATATTTAGTTTCCAATGTTTTCATAAAAGTGTATGTAACTCTTCCTCCTGATTTTTGTTTTTAAGTCTTTTTGCCTCATTTTTAAAACCAATTCATCAAATATCCTAAGATCTTTATCATGTTTTCTTCTAATAATTTTACTGGGTATTATGACTTAACCAGAATTCCAGATCATGTCCTCTTACCCCCAGCCACACAGTGAAAGACTTGAAATGACTTCCTACATGTAAATGTCCATTATTTCTGTGTTATGCAGGAGCTAGAAGAGCTGTGGGTATATAGAGCCCTCTTGGTCGAGCTCACCAAGAAGCTGACTTACTGTGTGAAGGCAGAGCTCATCCCTCTCATGGAAGTGACTGGAGTTTTAGAGGTCAGTAGTTTCCTAGGTTTCCAATGGAAATTGTTCAACTAACAGAAAAATAATATTTGTTTTTTTAGTGGAGGTCCACCACAGCACACATAACAACAAAAGTCTAATTTCTCTCATCACAAAACTCTCTCCTCTGCTTGGGGGAGGGGAAATGGAAAAAAAAAGGTTTACCATAGCCTCTCAGAATTATTCCTGTTAATCTAGAAGGAGTCGTGTTTAAAAAAACAAACAAACCCAAAAACCCCATTTGAGGGAGTAATAGCAATTAGGATGAGACAACCATTCCCATGTATGTTTTCGTCTCACCATCCCTTTCTTCTTCCACTTCTGTGAAGAGTTAGTCACCTTCTGTCATTTTAGGTAGTGGTGAATTGATGACAGCAAGGTTATTTACAATTCTAAGAAGATGATAAAAACAACCTCAGTTGTTGGCTCAGTTGGTTTCTCTGCTATTTTGAACCAACTCTCAATTTGTAGTCTCTTAACTTGCCAGTTCTTAAATCAGGGGAATAACCCTGCTTACTTTAAAAACAAAATTGATCCCCTGAGTAAACCAGAACACTCTGCTTAGGGATCTAAAGTGTTACCACTAATCTAAGGGCTCTAACGGGTATCTTGTTGCTCATTGCAGCACATATGCGCTGACTTAGACTGCACAGATTCCACCCAGTGCATCTTCAAAAATCCCTCAGAATTGCCTCATGTGCTATCTCACATTCTTAGCATATTATCTTCATTTATTCCTACCTCCTGCCTTTAAGGGTGGTTTTTTTACCCCCTTTGAATGAGACATACAGTTTTTTTCCTTCATCCCAAATTGGGACCTTACTGATTTTTTAACACTTTCAGGGTCGAGCAAAACAATTATACAATGCTGGCTACAAGAGTCTAATGCACTTAGCTAATGCAAATCCTGAGGTGCTAATAAAGACAATTGCTCATTTATCAAGACGCCAGGCTAAACAAATTGTTTCATCAGCAAAGGTAAGCAAACATACTAATTTTTACCTTTATAATATGTTATACTGTTCTTGTCTTCTACCTTAGACAACTTGTTTCTATAGGCATAAAAGAACTGTTAGGTGCTGTTGAGCTCACTATGACTCAGCAAGCCAATAAAAACAGATTTGAACCTTGTCCTGTCCTGTACCTCCTCACAGTCCCTGTCAGCCTCCAGACATTGTGGTAGTCACTGCTCAGTCCATCTCATTGAGGGGCTTCATCTCTTTCACTAACCCTCTACTTTTCCAACATAATGTCTTCCTCCCATAACTGGTTCCTCCTAAGACTATGCCCTATACTTTGGACATAAAAATATATAATGGATAAAATGAATATTACCTGTTACAAGAAAAGACTTGATGGAAGATAGCTATCCACCTTCCTATAGGTTTTCAGAGGCCTGTTATTCAAGGAGTAAGATGGGCAATGCTGCTTCCTACTCTGTCTTACTCTGGGAGCCCTATTAGAACCTGTATAGCATGGGTAACTTTTGTGGCATTTAACACACCAGTGGCATAGCTTTCAGTATCACAACAACTTACCTAGTACAGCAAAATGACAGACAAGTGCTATGCCAATTAGAACAATGTTCTCCCCAAATAAAAAAAAAAAAAACAACCTGAGTTTGTAACTCTAGCAGCTAATCTGTTTTCATACCAGAAAGATATAAAGAACCTTCAAAAAAAAGACAATCTCAAGGATTTTTTGCAGTAACAAAACCAGAAAAAATCCAAACTTTCTGTCAAGTCCATCCCAATTCATGGTGAGCCACCATCAGATTTTTGAATGTGTAAATGTTTCTGGAAAGAGACCGACCATCAAACTGCTGATCTTTCAGTGAGCAGCCTCACATGTAACACACTCTTTGACCTGGCTGCCTTTGGTACAGTACTAGAAACCTGTGCATCTGTGAGTTCTGAATCAATGCCTTCATTGACAAGGAGCTTACAACCATAGAAATTAGGTTGTTCTGTTTATGGACACTCTTACTATTCTGTTAGGTGCCGACAAGTCAGTTCTTACTAAAGATCTCCCTGCATTGGCCAGAGTCTTCTCAATTACTTGTTATGCTTCAGAGAGTTGGACAATGACTAAGGATGACAGAAGAATTGAAGCCTTCAAGTTGTGGCTCTGGAGAAGAGTCTTGAACATACCATGGACTGCCAAGAAAACAAATAGGTCTTTTTTAGAGAAGGTGAAGGAAGGTTTCTCCTTAGAGGCTAGGATTTTGAAGCTCTGTCTCATACTTGGCGCACATGGCCAGGAGGGACCAATCCTTGTAGAAGGACATCATGCTTGGAAGGGTGGAGGGACGACATAGGAGAAGGCCCTGGATGAGATGGATTGATAGAGTAATTGGGTGAAAAGGGTAGGTATGTCAGAATCAGTGAGACTGGCTCAGGACAGGGCAGGCTTCAGAGCTTCTGTACATAGGGTAACTATGGTTCACAGATGACTCAACGGCCCATAACAACATTGTTTATATTATTAACATTACCAATCATGATGTCTACTTCCCCAGAGACTAGCCCCTCCTAGTAATATTCCCAAAGCCTTGCCCTCCTCACTTCTAAGGAGTGTTCTGACTGCACTTCTTCCAGGACAGATTTATTGGTTCTGGAAGTCTGTGGTATACTCAGTATTCTTCACCAGCACCACAACTCAAAAACATCATTTCTTCTTCATTCTTATTCATTGCCCAGCTTTTGCATGTATAAGAGATGTTTGAAAATACTAGGACTTAGGTCATATGTGTCTCCATGTTAGTGGGTTGAGTATGGTGTAATAAAAGTTCACCTCTAAGAAGTAAGAATTTTATATCCAAAAGAATCCATCTGAGAGGGGTTCATAACAAACCCACACTGTCTCCTAATGTTGGGATTCAGACTTCACTGGCAAGGATTGGCTGTGACTTACTGAATGGAGGAAAGTTTCCCAAAGGGCCACAGCCAAGGCTGGAAAGCAGAAAACTATTCTGTAGGTGCCAGCAAAACATCCAAGTATGTTGTTGAGCTTAAATATTCCTTGCCAGGAAGCCGTGCCCAGGTGTTCTGTTGAAACCCACTGGACTGAGCACCACTGAGTATCTGGCACAGCAGAAAAGCACAGCAAAATCAGTACAAAAAGGTGACACCAGAACCAGCAGGAGAAACCCTTCTTCTGCTCTAGTGTGTCCAGCAAGACAGTGAAGGATAGAGTTGGAGTTAAGAGGCAAATAATAACTGGCATGCTGACACAACAAGATGTTGTGGTTCATCTGAGCTATGGTATCAAAGACTGCTGAAGATTATCCAGAAATAACTGGAACAAGTACATTAGCAGAGAACTGCCAGATATACAGCCTGGGTTTAGAGGAGGCTGTGGCACTAGGGACATCATAGACAACGTTGATGAATCTTGGCTGAAGGCAGAGAGTACCAGAAGAATGTCTATCTGTGTTTCATTGACTATGCAAAGGCATTTGATTGTGTGGATCACAAGAAATTTTGGCTAACCTTGAAAAGAATAGTAATCCCAGAACACTTAATTGTACTTATGTGAAACCTATATTTGGGCCAGGAAACAGTAGTCAGAACAGAGCAGAGAAACACTGCATGGTTCAAAATCAGATAATGAGTGCATCAAGGATGCATCCACTATCCATACTTTTTCAATCTATATGCAGAACAGATCATTTGAGATCTGTTCTTTATGAGGAGGAATGTGCCATTAGGATTGGAGGAAGACTCATCAACTTAACATTATGCAGTTGACACAACCTTGCTTACTGGAACTGAAGATGACATGAGGTATTTGCTGGAGAAGGTCAAAGACTGTAGTCTTCAATATGGATTGAAGTTTAACATCAGGAAGACAGAGATTCTCCCTTCTGGGCCAACTGGCAGCACCATAATAGATGGAGAAGAGATTGAGGTTGTTGATAACTTCAGCTTGCTTGGTTTCACAATCAGCACTCTTTGCACCAGCAGTCAGGAAATCAAAAGATGAATTGCACTGGGAAAAATCTGCTGTCAGGGACCTCTCCAGAGTACTGAAGAGCAACAGTGTCAGTTTGGAGACTATGATGTGCCTGATCCAGGCCATGGTCTTTGCAATTACTTGCTATGCATCTAAGAGCTGGATAGTAACTACGGATGATAAAAGGCTTGATATCTTTGAGTTGTGGTGCTGGAGAAGAGTGTTGAACATACTGTGGACTGCCAGGAGAACAAACAGATCTGTCCTGGAGAGGGTGAAACAAAGCTGCTCTCTGGAGGCAAGGATTTTGAAGCTCTGTCTCACATACTTTGGGCATGTGGCACGGAAGGACCAGTCCTTGGAGAAGGACATCATGCTTGGAAGGATAAAGGGACAGCAGAGGAGAGGAAGACCCAGGATGAGATGGATCAACTCAGTGACTGGAGAGATGGGATTAGGTCTGTCAGAGAAGATGATATTGGTTCAGGATAGGGCTCGTTTTAGAGCTAATGTACATTGGGTTGCTATGAGTTGCAGGAGGCTCAATGGCGCATAACAGCATCATGATGCTGAATCATTTCCCCCAAGAATTCTAGTTCCTTTTAGTGAAGATGGTATTTACAAACTAAGATTTGGAAGCTAGATTCAGAGCTGCTCTATGATCAACAGATCATGCTCTCTGTTATGCTGAAGCCCATTATGGTAGTGACTGTATCAATCCGTCTCATTGAGGGTCTTCATTTGTTTTGCTGACTCTACCTTTTCCAGCATAATATCATGGTTAAGAACTGGTTCCTCCTATAAAATATGCCCAATATAAGTGAGATGTTTCACTATGCTTGCCTCTAAGGAGCTCTCTGGTTGTACTTTCTTCAGGAGAGATCTTCTGGCAGTTCATGGTACATTCAATGCTCTTTACAAACACCACCATTCAGAGGTATAGATTATTTCTCAATCTTCCTTATTCATTGTCAACTTTCAGATACATAGCAAGCAACTGAAAATACAATGGCTTGGGTCAAGCACACTATAGTCTTTAAATGGGCATCACTGATCCTTAGTACTTAATAGCACATTTCCTAGTATAATACAACATATCTTTTTTTTTTATTATTAATTTCAATGAACATTTACAAAGATTTAGGATTTCCATTCATTATTGTTGCACTTTTCTCCCTGCTCACCCACCCCCATCCCCAGTTCGCTCTTCTCCTTGAAAAGCAAAAGAAAAAGACTCCTTCATTGGTGCACAATCCCCCCCCCCATCCCAAGTATACTACACTCTGCAACCCTCATTCCAAACTCTTATGATATCTTCTGAATTCTTTTTTTTTTTAAATACATTTTTTTAAATTTTATTTTATTATTTTTGTGTGCGTGTACCATCAAATCAGATCTGACTGGTACAAGAGGAGATTGCCCCTCCTTCTCCCGGCAGAGCATCTGGTGGATTCGAACTGTGCACCTCTGGGATTGTAGTTGCAGCTTCTTGCCACTAGGCCACCAGAGCTCCCCTATATCTTCTGAATTCTTGACTGCTATTACCATGAGTATTGATTGTGGGTCCAAGTAAAATGAAATCCTTGACAACCGTAGTCATTTCTCTATCTGTCATGATGTTAAAGAGTTTTATTACTTTCTTTTTTTTTTATTTTTTTTTTATTTTAGTTTTATTACTTTCTTGATTTAAGATGTAACCCATATTGAAGGCTATAGTCTTTGATCTTCTGCATTAAGTGCCTCTCATAGGTCTAAATTGTTGTTGATGTTGTTAAGTGTTGTCAAATACAACTCAGAGCGACCCAATGAACAACCAATCAGAATGCTGTCCTATTCTGTGCCATCCATATCACCTCTGACATACTTGAGCCCATTACTGTATTTACTATGTCAGTCCATCTCATTGAGAGTCTTCCTCTCTTTCTCCAACGCTCCACCTTTCCAAGGAATAATCTCTCCTAACAACATGCTCAAAGTATGTGAGACGAACCTTCATCATCTTTGTCTCCAAGGGACATTCTGTTTAAGTAAGGAGCTCTAAATAGGTCTAGTGGGTAAAGAGTTGCACTACCAACATAAACATAAACAGTTCTAATCCACCAGTGTGCTCTGTAGGAGAAAGATGAGCAATCTCCTCCAGCGTGATTTACAGCCTCTGAAAACCCACTGGGGGGGTCAACTATGGGCTACTTCTGACTCAGTGGTGCCTAACATCAACTACATGAGAAGACTGTCCAGAAATTTGCAGCTATCTCTCCCTCTGGCCTTAAATAATTAATATCTTTCTCACATGAAAAAGATATTCCCCAGAATATATACTCCATTATCATTAGGCTTGGATTGGAGGTTTAATAATTCCAAATCAAGTGCAGATGCAGGTGATGTCCTGCAAGTGAAGTTTCAGGCTTGAGTATATCAGAGATGGTGAAGATAGTGAAAGATAGAGCAGGGTTCAGATCTGTTGTTGATAGGGTCACTATGAGTCTTGGTTGACTCAACCACAATGTTCCTCTCAATCTGTAGATCTGTGAATTAAAGAGACAGCACTTACAATGGTGAAACAGAGATGGGCTACGCACCGGACAATGCTCTTCAAAATGAGGGGAAATGGGAGACACGTGGAAGCAATCCTAGAACCCAGCTGAGCAGAAATGTCCAGTTCTGTGACCAGGAGCCCATGATCACAACTCTACTTCCCAGGATAGATTCCTCCTGCCTTTTGAATGAATTGTTCCTCCTTTTCCATAAAAATGCCCCATAATTGCATCTAGATAATTCTTCAGCTTGCTTCCTGCCTGTAGGAATTCCCAGGACCCAGAGACCTTTTTCATTTTGTAGTGAATCTGTCCCTTTCAATCCAATTCACTATTATCTCTTTTAAAACATTGTGAGCATTTCTTAAGCTCCATTAGCTTGAAGAGTCTTACATTATGGTAGCTGTGACAAGAGGGAGAATTTAGAAAGCAGTCTTTCTAAAAAACCAAGGCAGAAATATCAAACTGTTTGTTTTTAATGGACACCTTTAACTCACACTTAAAACTAGTGAGTTTTTCCAGGAAATTTTTGGGCAGGGAATATCCTCAAATATTTACCCTCAATAGCATCGCTAACACTGGCATCCCACAGCATTCTTCTCAAGGTCCTGAATCTAGATCTGGAAGATGCCAGCAATATAAGCCATGCTCATAGGATTCCACAGCGATTATGGGAGTTTGGGGGGGTGTTCTTCATTACGGTCTCATCAGTCCAGAGGACAGAACTTTACCGAACCAATGACACTAGCCCCGACTCCCACTGGCTGCCACGTCTTTTCTTCTTTCTTAGCTGCTGCCACCCGTCGTCCTCAGAGCAGCAACACCAGCACAAATCCAAGATTTCCAGCATCAAAGATGGCACCCAGCTACTTGAAGGTTTCTTTTCTTTCACTGACTTTTTCCGAGAATGATGTCCTTCTCTAAGGACTGGACCTCCTGACAACATGCCCAAAGTATGTGACACACAGGCTCCCATCTTTGCCCTGAAGGAGCAGTCTGATTGTACTTTACTCAGGACAGATTTGTTTTGACCAAGAGCAAAAGTTGTCCAGTGCCATTTGACAGTTTATTGTTGGTTAGAAGTATATCTCCTCAACAAATCCAGTAGCAACTTCTCAGGAAGAAGATGTGACAGTTTGCTTCCATAACAATTATTGTTATTGTTAGGTCCTGTTGAGTCAGTTCCTAGGGACCCTATGTACAACAGAGTGAAATGTTGCCTAATGGGCTTGAGGCCTCTGTTGCAGCCTGTGTGTTAATCCATCCTGTTGAGCATCTGTCTTTCTCCTTTTTTGCTGATCTTCTACTTTACCAATCACAATGTCCTTCTCTCAGGACCATTCCCTCATGATAACATTTCAGTTTCATCTCACTGCCCTCATCTCCAAGGATCATCTTCACTGTACTTCCTATATACTAAAGACTGACAACTGCAGCTTTGGAAATCGTGTGGGCCAGTTTTGTTTTACCATGTAAGATGGCTATGAGTAGGAATATGACTCCAGACAATAGGCTTTAATAATTTATTAATGCTGTGCTTTTATATCAAATTGATTGAGAGAATTTGTGGGGTGTTTTTTTCTTTTCACTTTTGCCTTCTTTCATATTCTTCATTTCACATTGCAGTTTATTGTTGGTTAGAAGTATATCACCTCAGCAAACTCGGTAGCAACTCCTCAGGAAGAAGATGTGACAGTTTGTTTCCATAAAGATTATCACTATTGTTTTTCTCAGTGTAATTTCTCTAAACTTTTTTATTCTCAAAATTTTGCAACAGAAGTAATACAAATTCTTTATCACATTATAGAATATGAAACACTAATTTTCCCAAAGATTCATTGACATCTATGTGTCATGTTTAGAATTGCTTTCTTTAGTCACTGTTGTGTGCTGTCAAGTCAGAACCATGTCATAGCTGACCTTCCAGCAAGTTTCGTTGTTGTTGTTGTTGTTGTTGTTGTTGTTGTTGTGTGTCATCAGATCAGCACTAACTCATAGCTAACCCTCGACCAGATTTTAAGAGTCTTCTAATTGGAACAGGAGAAGATTGCCCATCTTTCTCCCCTGGGTTAACTGGTGGATTCAAACTGCATGCCTGTGTGCTGGCAGTGCATCTCTGTAACCACTAAGGCACTGGAGTTCCCTTTTTATAAAATTTTTTTGAAAAATTAAGCACGTTATCTTTAGGTACTTAAGTAAAACTATTTTTTAAAAAATATTAATAGGTTTCTATAAGATAGCATGTTAACTTTTAGGAATAATAAAATGCCTATATGAAATATACCATTTTCAGGAGGTAATTACATTTTTGCAAAATTGTCTTAGATTTTGTAGACTAAAAGTTTTTAAGGGGCTGAGTCTTCAGTAAAACAGATCTGTGAGAATATTAAAGCTCCTTTATTTGGGGTCCACTAAAAGCAGTGATCATTTAAGTTTAAATGCCTTAGCTTCATTTGCTGTAATCACTTTATCTTAAGTGCCCATTTTTCCATCTTCTTATCGATGTTAATGCATAAGAATTAGATGTCCTCCGGCAACTTAGTGGTAAGGAGTTGTGTGCCAACCTAAAGGCATGGGATTCAAATCCACCAGCCTTTCTGGGGGAGAAAGATGAGCAGTCTCCTGTGTGATTTACTGCCTCTGAAAACCTGCTGGAGGTTCAGCTATGAGTCAGTTCTGACTTGACAGTACATACCAACAACAGTAGATAATGACCAAAATGTTGGAAATTTTCTAGCAATGTATATTTTTGTTTCACATCTTGGTATTTTTTAAATTATAGATGTTGTTAAATGAAAAAGCAGAAGCTTTACGAGAAGAAGTGGAAGAATTACTGAGGTTGCCTTCTGATATCCCTGATATGGCTGCTTCCATGGAAAAAGCATGAAGCGACCCAAGGAGCATTTTTAAATGGAATTATTTATTATGTATATATTTTATTAAATATTCCTTATACTTTATAAATGGAAAAATTCATTTTATTTATATGTAAGAAACTATGAGTGATGTCTGAATATGTGTCTCATCCACAATTGCAGTACCCTTCCCGTTAATATTCCATCTCTTTCAGTACTTACACATTCCTTTCTACTCAGACATCTATGAGAATCAACCCAAAATGAAATTCTACTTCCTCGTTGTATCCCAAGTCTACCTTTGTAGCCAGGGTACTTTGGTGTCCTAGTCAGCAGGGATTTGTGCTGATAACCCAAGGGTCATACTTCTCTGATAGTTCAAATCTACCAACAACTCCAAGGAAAAAAGGCTCCTCCCTTGCAATTTATAACCTTGGAACCCCACTGGAGGGTCAGGTAGGAGTTTGTTCCACCCCAACAGCAATGTATTTTAGGTTTTGTTTTTCAGAATATCCCGTTCACCTGGTGTTGACATTATCCTAAGCATTGCGTCTAATAACTCAATATCACCCCTCCCTTATTTTTACATTTATTAATATGAACCAATGTACACCTAATCTACTAATGTCTTAGTGGAATCTTGGGCTCCAGTGTATATGCTCTATTTGCTGCAGCTAAAAAGCACTGTAAAAGAGCAGCTGGCTAACCTAGCTATGGAAGTTTAGGCTAATAGCACCAGAAGTATAACTGGAATGCTCCTTGAAGCAAGGATGATGATCTGGGGATCTCTGCTGCTACAATGCCATCCCAGGGACCAAACAGGATAAATAGAGTTTGGGTCGGGGAGAAGCAACCAGGGCAAAGACTCACTTTCTCAGCTGGCATGATGAGCTTCTTGAGAGAGCTGCCTTGAGACCCCTGTGGACAGAGACCGCATAAGTCGGTGCCCCTAATCTTGCACCAGTCCAGAGATAAAGGAAGACATTAGGCTTCAGGAGAGAAGATGTCATCAAGTGAGAAACTCTTCCCCAGTACCAACACTTTCAGGTGTATAGGAGAGGTCCCTCCATTTGGGACCATCCCAGGGACCAAAGAGGACAATAGAGTTTGGGACAGAGAGCAAAAAGCAGAAGAAAGACTCACCTTTTCAGCTTGCATGCTGAACTTCTAGAGAGAGCTGCCTTAAAATCCCTTTGGACAGAAACTGCTTAAGTTGGTGCTGCTAACTTCACACCACTCCAGAGACAAAGGAAGATATTAGGTTTCAGGAGATGAGACTTCAAGTGAGACATTCCTCCCCAGAGCCAGCACTTTATCCTCAGGTGCTAGAAAGAGAACTGCCTTGAAACCCCCGTGGACAGAAAGTGCTTAAGTGGAGCACCTGTTCTAGAGGGCCTGGTCTCACACCACTTTATCATTTCCAAGACAAAGGAGGACAATAGAATTTTGGAGAGGGAACTATAATAAAGTGAGATGCCTGCAGGGCTGCAGTGCAGACCAGAGAGAGCCTAAGGACTTTCGGAAAGGCAAATTTTTCCAGAAGGAACTTCCTATAGAGTGAGTGGACCACCCCATATACTGAACATTTTAAGCTAATCAATAGCATCTAACCAATGACATCATAAAGATAAGAACTAACAACGACGTATGCAGACACAGTAAAAATGACCTAACACCACAAAAAATTTCACCTAATGTCAAGAAAGCAGCCAGCAGCTTCAAACACTGAAAATACAAAATAAGCCTTCTCCCAAAAAAGCAGAGCATAGTGAAGACTGAGTGAATACCCAGTCAGGAAGGCAGAAAATACATATTGTTATGGAGGTATTCGAACAGCTGTGGAAGAAGGTGCAAACGATGGAAGAAACAATGGAAGCCACTAAGAAAGTGAATACTCCAGAGAGAGGGAGCCAGAAGAAATGTATTAATGGGGAGGAACTTGAACAACTACAGAGGAAAATGCAAAAGATGGAAAAAAATTGAAACTATAGATAAAGAGATACTAAAACTTAAAAAAAAATTGCAAGACAGAAGATACTGCCAATAGAACTAGAAAAAAACTACAAATGCATGAAAATGAAATCCAGAATGTTAATACCAAAATGGCAGAAGTGTCCAACAGACTTGAGGGACAAAAATGTAGAACAGAAGAGATGGAGAAGGGAGTCAGTGAGATAGAACAGAAGAACTTTAAAGGAAACATGTTATGTGCCATCAAGTGGCCTGCAACTCATAGTGACTAGTACAACAGCCCTAAACCGTGCTCTATGCTGTGCCAATATTATTGTCTCTGACACACCAACCCCCATTACCCCAGTCACTGAGTCAATCCATCCCATCAAGGGTCTTACTCTCTTGTGCTGTCCTTTCAAACTCCCAAGCATGATGTCCCTCTCCAAGGACTGGTCCCTCCTTGCAACATGCCCAGTGTATGTCAGACAAAGATTCAGAATCCTTGCCTCCAAGAAGCAGCCTGGTCTCACCCTCTCTAGGACAAACCTGTTTGTTCTCCTAGCAGTCCATGGTATATTCAATACACTTCTTCAGCACCATAGCTCAAAGGCATCAATTCTATCATCCCTAGTCGCTGTCCAGCTTTCTGATGCATAGTAAGTAATTGCAAAGACTATGGCTTGGATCAGAAACATCTTAGAGTCTCCAGACTAACAACATTGGCCGTCAGTACTTTGTAGAGGTCTCTGACAACTGACTTTCCCATTGTAATAATGGAAGCATACTAGAAGAAAAATCAAAGATGAGATATAAAGAGAATGGATGAACCATTAGATTCATGTGGGAGGACATCAAAAGGAATAACATACATAGGACTGGAAATTCAGAATACGAGAGGGACAGGAAATCACTGAGAAAATTGTGGAAGAGATACTAGAAGAAAACTTCCCAGGAATTATGAAGAACAGAGAAATCCACATTTAAGAAATCCAGCGAACACCAAATAGACTAGACCCAACAAGAAAAATATCAAGACTTATCATAGTTCAAGTCTCCAAAGTACAAGATAAGGATACAATACTAAGGCAGCTCAAGAAAAATTAGTCACCTACAAAGGAGAAACAAGTAGATTAAGTTCTGATTTCTCCACTGAAAGTAACATGGATGGCATATATAGCAAGTTGAAAGAAAATAGTTGCCAACCAAGGATCTTGTACCCACCAAAGCTGTCCATCAAATATGAAGAGAAATTAGATCCTTTCCAGAAACTTAAGAAATTTGTGAAAACAAGACTAACTCTACAAGAAATTTTTTTGAATTTGAATTTATGATTAATTTCAGTAAAAATTTACAGAGGCTTTGGATTTCTATTCATTCATTGTTGCACATATCTCCCCAAGCCTCCACCCCAGTACACTACCCTCTTGGAAAAGCAAAAGAAAAATTCTTTCATTGTTTTACAAACCCTCCTCCAGGTCCACTCCACCATGTAGCCATCACTCTAGACTCCTGTCATGACAGAAATACCTAATCACACATCCCTTTTATACAATTTTCTCTCTCATCTGTTTCAATGCAGTATACATTATTGAACCCATCTTTCTCAGTCTTTCCCCAATCCCAAGGTCAGTCCTGTTTTACAACGGTGACACCATGCAATATTTGTCCTTTTGTGACGGACACTTCACTCAGCATAATGTTCTCCAGAGTCAACCATTTT